CCTCTCTATTCCAAACCTTTTCATTCTTACAAGAGAACTGCTATGTTTATCAAAAAAAGTTTACCAAATCAAGTTGGATAGTTAGATTAGTGGGCACCATAATCCAAGGATAGTTAGATTTATGAGACTCACAGATCCAACCAGATATATTATTTTATAAACTTTTTGGTACCTTTTTTTTTTTTGTGGTAAGCACATCATTCCCCTTTTCACAATTACCTTCTTAAAGACTAAGCTAAAGGGTTTACTCCGTAGACCTAAATATTGGATCCATCACTGCAAGTTACACCACAATTAGCAGTTGGACTTCAACTATGCTTGAGATGTCGTTTCTAACTTCTCCTCCTCTTTGTCTGTCAAGCAGAGTCATCCACCATGCAATGTGGAATATGGGTCGTCCACTGATCCAAAATGCTATATCCATGATAACCTTTGATCTCTCAGAACTTCCTTCTACACCAAGGATTCATTACCCATTTTACCAGGGCCTCAACTTATGACTTAGGGTGTGTTTGGTCGGGATAAAAAGAAAAAGGATTAATTGTAAGTTGTACCCTGAAAGATAGTTTGAATCTCAATTTAGACCTCCAAAAATAAAAAAATTTAATTTACACCCTCAAAGATAAAAATTTATATCAATGTGTACCCCTAAAGATAAGAAATCTCATTTTACACCCTCAAAGATAGAAATTTGTATCAATGTGCACCTAAAACTAAATTGATAAATTATACCTAGATCCCCTCATGCTTGTCACTTAATCATTTGGACCCTTTCACATTTAGAATATTACTTCTACATCTCATGAAGTTTGTGCACGTGTAACATGTAATCCATTTTCGTTGATATATGTTAATATAACTGTTAAAAAATATGATTTTATCCTAATAAAAAATTATAATTTCATATTATCCTTTATTTTATGGGTCCTATATACTCTAAAGTTCAAAATCAACTTTACCATTTGAATGTCCAATAGAATGTAGATATTTATATAATATTTTTTATATCCAATGTAATATATCACTCAATGTGCAACCCTTTATTCTATTAGATATTCAAATGGTAAACTTGATTTTGAACTTTAAAGTATATTGGACCTACAAAATAAAGGATAATTTTTTTATTATGATAAAATTATATTTTTAACGGTTATATTAACATGTATCAAAGAAAAGAGATTACATGTTATACATGCACAAACGTCATGAGATATAAGAGTATATTCTAAATGTTAAGGGGTCTAAATGATTAAGTGACAAGCATGAAGGAATCTAGGTATAATTTATCAATTTAGTTTTAGGTGTACCTTGATACAAATTTCTATCTTTGAGGATGTAAATTGAGATATTTTATCTTTGGGGGTGCACATTGATACAAATTTATATCTTTGAGGGTGTAAATTGAGATTTTTTATCTTTGGGGGTGCACATTGATACAAATTTCTATTTTTGAGGGTGCAAATTGAGATTTTTGATCTTTAGGGGTACAAATTAAAATTCGAGCGATCTTTCAAGGTACAATTTACAATTCACCCAAAAAAAAAGAAAAAATATTGAAGGGTGAGATTAAACTAAATTTGTTTAGTGGCACCAAATTTAAACTATGTAATACAACCCGATTCCTAACGACTTTATTAGTGCAGACTTAATGCTAAAGTAACATTCTTTGTTATATCGTTAAAGGCTTGAGGATTATGCATTAACATAGGATTCTTTTATCTTTACTTAATACCATCCATTAATCTCTCATATTAGTTATCTTATCGTATTTCATATTATACCCGAATCAAACATCACTTTATTAGGAGGCCAAGTGGTGTAAATATTTTAAGTTAGTTCTTTGTAATCTATGAGTAGTGCCAGAATCTTTGTCATTAGAGGCTAAGAGCAGTGAGCATGAAATCGCTTCCACTCATATTAAATACTAGGGAAATACTAAAAGTTATTCTCTAAGGTTAGCTGAATATTGAGCTAAGTTACAATTATTGTTTGGAGAACTCGTTTGTTTAAAAGACCACACCACTAACCGAAAGATAATTCTAAACACAAGTCACACTAAAATGTTTGGCCAACTAAATGAAGGTTTAAGAACAATCCAAACACCAACATGTGTTTTACTGTATAGTCAATTGCGCAGATCATAATGGAAACCCAGGTCATGGAGGTGATGTAAGCGCTTACAACTGTCTCTACTTATTTATTGAAATTCTACAGGACCAAAACAAATATAGTATTGCACTCTCATATATAATTTTTTTAGTGGTTTTTGTACAATTTTTTTGGGATAATTTTAATTTTTTTTTTTGGGATTTTTTAGATTGATCCCAACAATTTTAAACATTTGTTTTAATTTTGAAGATTGGTTCTAATTTTTTTTAGTTATACTAAACCCCAAAATTTTATATATTAAGAAAAAAAATTATAAACTTTGATACGACACATACCCAAGTCATATCCTATTCTTTAAATGGCTCCATTTGATACAAAAGGACTTCTCAATAATATGCACACAAATCACTGAGCGGTTGGTCAAAGTGAATAAGAGTTCGAATTTTTTCGTTTAATTAATATTTTGGTTCGAGTCTTTATAGCTATGATAGTTTGTTAGGTTAAATATACTTTTCTGGAAGGCTTCAATTGATTACCTCTGTGCTCAATAGCACCCAAAATTTTTGGTCAACCCACATTTTTATTCCCCAACAGGTTCTCGATAAATTAGAAAGAATGCTTAGATTATTCCTTTGGAAGGGGACTGATCTCAAGCCTACTGGAGCCAAAGTGGCCTGGGTGAACCTCTTGAAACTGAGATCAATAGTTAGACCTCTAATTCAACATGTTATTGGTAATGGAGAGAGTACTAGCCTTTGGTTGAATAATTGGCACCCTCATGGTCATCTTCTACTTAGATGGAGTGATAATGTTATTGATCATTTAGGGTTACCTAAGGATGCTAACGTGGCTGCAATCGTGGGCAACAATAGGTGGTCATGGCCTTCCACAGGTACACTTGATCTCTTGGAGATTTCAAATCATATGCCTACATATATTCCTCTGACAAATAAGGAAGACCAGGTGTAGTGGACTATAGCAACAAATGGACAATTTTCTTCTTATTCAGCTTGGAATCACCTTAGGGCACCTAGGCTAGAGGTACCTTGGCACCATCTGTTGTGGTATGGACAATGCATACCCAGGATGAGCTTCATTCTTTGGCTAGCAATAAAGGAAAGGCTTAGCACTAAAGATAGAATGCAAAAATTTGTGCCGGATGTTGATGTGACATGTATCCTATGTAGGCATGACATGAAATCTCACTCTCACCTCTTTTTTAGTTGCCAGTTCTCACAAGATATTTGGATTTTTATTATGCAACTGTGTGGTGAACAAGGTCTATTGAGCTCTTAGTAGAATTTCATCGATTATGCAAGTCAAAGTTGGAAAGGTAAGTCACTTGGTAAGGTGTTAAAGAAGTTGTGCTTGGCAACTACTGTGTATATAATATGGAAGGAAAGGAATAGAAGACTCCATACAAACCAGTTTATGGATTGTAAAAGTCTTGTGAAGTGTGTCTTGCAAATCATCAAAGATAGATTAGTCACAATCAAATTCAAGAGTTCCCCCAAAAACTTGTCTCTCCTTCAAGCTTGGCAGCTTCTTGCTGTGGCTTAGGTTCAAATGATATGTGCTAGGAATGTCCTGCGTTTATGGATGAGGCAGGAGCTGTTGCCTGTTTTGCGCATTGGGGTGCCTTTATACATGATGATCATGGTTAATCATTGTTTGCTGTGCTGGTTTTGGGGACATTTGCTTTGGGATGGATCATGTTGTTGGGGGTCTCCTGCGCCTTGAAGTTTTTTGTTGACAGGAATGCACTGTTCAAGTGCACAACTTGTTTAATGCAGCTGTTGACCTTTCTCTTCTGTTTTCTTCTTTCTTCAGCAGAGTGTTGATGACCTTTATCTGTTGTTTCAGTTGTTTCCCCTCAGCTGCCTTTTATTATGGTGTCTGCTGCCTGGTCTCCATTGCAGCCTGCCACAGTCGCTGGGCACTGTTTACGGCTTTCTTGTTTCACTGCTCTTGAATGTTGCCTTGATTGCTGCATGTTTGCTCTGTTATGAGGAGTTCATCCTAAGAGCATGAAAGGTTCTTTTGGCTCCTTCATCCATTTGTTCTCTCACTTGGCTGTTGGCATTGGGCTTTCCATATTATCTGATGGAAGCCTCTTTGCTTTCTTTGTCTCCTTTGAGTCTGGATTATGTTGGAAGTACCAGCTCAAGGCTGACCCTTTCTTTAGAATTCTACACTCTTGGTTGTTGTAAATCTTTTGGTTCTACTTTTGTATTGGGTGGATGCATTATCATGTGAGCATCACTTCTGTTTTTTTTTTCTTATGAATATATTTACCTTCCGTAACTTCGACCCCGACGTAAGTATAGTGGGGTCTCCTGCAAATAATTATGTGATGTTAAAAGACAATACTCTTTGATAGATATGTGGAGTGATCTATCTACATATTCATTTTATATACAATATATATATATATATATATATTCACACAAGAAGCCCTGATGAGGAGAAGTTAAACTAATTTTATATCACAACTTCCGTGATAGACTTAAACAGTGTGATGAATTCATTTTTAGTATAGAAAGAACATTGAATAAAGAAAGTGGAATGATGGTCATCACTATCACTAGAACCGTGGAAGTTGCATTCTTATCACCTTTTTGTGATTCTTTTATTGATTTGCAATTTCATTGAAATCTTTGTAGGAATCCCACGATCACCATTGATGCTCATCTAGAAGATTAAAAATATTTGGATCCACACCAAATTGTCAACATGTACACATGATTCTCATTCTTTCAAGGAAAGGTTTGCAAATATTCTTTCACTTTATGCTGTAGTTAAAAAGACGGAGAGAGAGAGAGAGAGGGGCTATATAAGTAGGACATGAGGGGGGCTATCAAGTAGAACTCGTCTTTGTCTTTGCTCTTCATCAGATATGGGTCTGCTAGTTATGGCAATATTACTAAGTTTATTGTCCAAAGAAGTAAACCTTGTCTTGGGGGACATAGGCACTGCTACATCTTATGAACCCCCATACACACGTAAGTACATAGAATTTTTTTTTCTCAAATAATTGTGATTTTCAAACATTATGCCATCTTTATTGCCAATTTTAATCTACTTCTTAATCTACAATTGCACTTAAAAAATGTTTTTAGTACTTAATTTGATAACCTAATTCATTATAACTGTTTGATTGACAATAGATATCATCTGACATTGGAATGTTGAAAGCATTGGTTTAACTATGATTCCATGAATATAAAGCTCGTTTAACAAATAATATTTTAGAAGCACAAAACAAAGGGAATGTACAGATGATATGTCATCCCAAATTTTTGCATGTTGTTGGTCTTTACTTGTAATTGCTTTGTAAGTCTCTGGGTATACTCGATATACTTGTTTCTTTTTGGTTAATGAATGATTTCCTTACGTTAAAATTTTTTAAAAACGACGCATATGATTGCAAATTGCAAACTAAACTTAAAATGATTTCTCTCTATGTTACATAAATGCATGAATATTTACAATATTAATTTCCTTCATTTTTCTTAATGAAAATTCTGAATAAAAAATGAGTGACTGAGTTTGGTTTATGCTAATGTGTTTGTTTTTTATTGACCTTTGTACAGCAACAAAATGCAATGGGAATAGAGAAGATCAATTCCCACCAGGAAATCTATTTGTTGCAGTGAGTGAAGGGTTGTGGGACAATGGGGCTGCATGTGGCCGGCGTTATAGGCTGAGATGCCTGAGTGGCCAAAATCGGCCATGCAAGGGTGGTACCGTCGATGTTAGGGTGGTGGATTTTTGCCCTAAAAGACCCTGCCCTTCCAATATCCTCATGTCAAAGGATGCTTTTGCAGCGCTATCTCGTTCTCCTAATGCAAAAATCAACATCGAATTTATCCAGTATACTACCATCCTTTTTTTTTGTTTCTCCTCCTTCTCGCAATGCCTAAACTTGTTCTTATCATTTTTGCAGGATTTGATATGAAGCATACGCATTATTTTCCGCTCCTCATCAACAAGATTATTATGTTGTCATATTGGGAGGTTCAAATACGAGAGATTAGAAGAAATGTAGAGTCTCGACATCGTCATATTTGTAATTCTTGTGGTGATTGTTTTGTGTTATACGTACTATGGTCATTTAGTAGTACTCCATAATTATGGAATCTAGGATACATAATTCTTAATATATGAGCGCTGCTTGAAATTTGTGCTCATAAAAAGCATGTAATATTTATTTAAAGTATTATAATGCATGCAAAATTTGGAATGTGCTCCATTTTTGTAATCGGACCCAGGAATATAGTTTAGTTGAGAGAAAGGATATAAGAGGGACGACTTTTGAAACTTTTTGAGAAGATATAAGAGGATGAGGCTATATAGTTCTACAAACTAAAAGGTTTTTTTTTCTTTTTCTAATTCAAATAAATACTTTCCGTTCCTTTTTTTATTTTATTTGCAAGGAGCTAGATGAGAAGAAAATATTACTTCCTATTTTTTTATTCAAAAAAATAATTTTTTGTATTTTTTATGTTATTTTTGAGAAAAAAACTCTCAAATCTGATTCTATAGTAAATGTGAAATTCGGCGACAACCATCAAGTATATTTTATTGAGATAACCTCCCCTTAAAAAAAAAAAAAATCCTTCCTAACCCAACTAAACATATCGAGGGAAGAATGAACATAAACAACAATGTTCATTACGTTAATGCTTTCCACTTGCAAAGTTGACAAAATGATTGGGTCAAGCAGAATTAACTAATTGACAAGAGCCGCTAACACATGAAATCCCTTGACCCCCCAACCCCTAAAAAAAATTAAAGACGATCCATGTATCTAGTGACATAAGATATGGCTCTGCAGTGAGGTGAAAGGTTATAGAAATCACCTTCTATTGTGTGCTGTTATCTTTGATGTTGAATCTGTTTGGGATGCAAAAAAATTGAGCACCCTCCCCTGTTTTTTTAGTTTTTTTTTACAACTCACCTAATGTGTGAATTGGTTTTGTAAAGGGTAAAAATTGAGATTACCACCTATAAGAATAAAGATTGAATGTTTCTGATAAGAGTGAGTTTTGAACTTGATCTTCCAGTCTTTGCTTATTGCAAAACGAACAAACTGCCCAAGATCGAAGTCCTTCGATCGAAGACATTTCGATGCTTAAGTTAGTAATGGAACTAAGACAATTGCAAGAAGATAGTGATTGTTTCGCGTACCTTTCACCCTGGTTTCCTTTGCTTTTTATAGATTATTCTCAACGATTCAGTTTGAGAAGTTGCTAATATTGCTCCAACAATTCCTCCTGACATCTACAATTTCGTTGATTCGTTTATCAAAATGCTTAAGTTATAGGCGAGTATTTGTCTTTCCACGTACTATTGCAAATAGCTCGGTCATTACAAGTACCGAACTCCTTTCTTGTTTGTCGAGCACATCAATCCTCTCGGTTTGGTAAGAACCGAACACTTTAATCAGCTTGGTCATAATGAGAGCCGAACTCTTTCTTTCTTTGCCGAACTTTTTGATTAGTACAACTCGGTTTATAAGGCTGAGTGAATGATTTCTTTGTCATGTGACTTGTCTTGTCAACCTCATGTGGGCTTATTTAATGTCATAACACATGTAATAATGGGAGTCAACCCCCTTCATTTGCCTCTCGAAAACGTTTGACAAATGTTTTTCGTCTGTCAGCCATTTTATGCATTTTCATCATCACTGCGTGTACATCCCCTTTTTGTTTTAGCGGTATGCATTGTATTTAAATAACCTCTTGGAATTCCTCCTCTTTGTAAACATTCTCTTTCCATCCTTTCTTTCACTTTGCTTTCCTGCTCACAGACTCATCTTTTCCTCTGCATCTTCTATTCTTCTATATTTCTTCTTCTTCAATGGCCCCTCTCCTATCTTCTAAGATTTCAGCTTTCAAAGCAAAATATAACATTCCAGACGACGTCGAGGTACAGGTTGATCGAAAAGATGAGCCATTGATAGGCCCAAGGGAGAGGATTTCCATCCCAACTCGGGCCATTACCGAGGGTGGAGTTCGATTCTCTCTCGATCCTCTTTTTCTATGGGTTTTTTCTGCCATCAAACTTTGCCCCCTGCAATGTTGTCCTAATTTTTCAAGATTGTGATGGGGGTTGCTGCTTTGAATAGGTTGTTAAACCTAAGTCTGGGCCTCTGGAAACTCCTGTACTGCTATATCATCAAGCCAGCCGGTGATAACTACTACCTTGCCTTCAAGAAGAAGGAAAGGTATTTGGTAATCCATTTGCCAGACTCGAATAAGGGTCATGAGAATGACGTGGTCTTCATTTCTGGCAATTGGGAATATGTTACTGATGCTACACCTTCCTACCGTTGTCCTTAAGAAGAAGGTGGTCCAGGCATTTGAACATTTTACTCTTCTAATTTAACTTTTGCTTGTTGTTTTTTGCTGTTTTATGACCTAAGTCTTCTTCTGTGTGCAGGCAAGACTGTTAAGGGCAAGATTCCTGACTCCTCGGTGAAAATGGATGAACTGCAAAAGGTTTGGGATTTCAATGAGACCCTGTTCTATCGAGCTGCCCATACACTGCTAGGTTACACACCTTCTTATACTTCATTCATTGTCGTGTCGAACCAACCAAACGCCACTCTAGCTGCAGACCGGGAGGCGATCCAAGCTGCTCGAGAAAAGACGCCCCAAGCAAGGAAAAAGTCTTCCCTTATAGTTTTTGGACGTTGAATAGTGAGAAATTTCTTGGACTTTTTGTCAACGGTTGAGCCGACTCCACCCACTGGACTGATTCCAACAACTTCTGCACTTCTGATCACTGTTCGCGAAGAGCCTACTGTCGAAATCCTTCTTGAGGAGATTCTTCCCAAAGCCAATGATGCAGATTTGCCCCTAGGTTACCAAGCTAGTTTGGCTCTAGCCACTAAAACTTCTGTTCTAGTTGAGATAGATCTTCTGGAATCTGTTCGTTCCCCTTTCCAAGAAGTCAATTCAATCTTGAGCTTGTCGAAGACCCTGCCCCGAAAAGGCGAAGAGTTGTCGAGTCTGAGGTGAGCCTTTCTCCCAAACCAGTCATTCCTCATTTTTGTCCTATCCTTAGAGCAAAAAGGATAGAGATTACTAAAAAGGACTCCGTCATTGAAGACTTTAATGTAGCAGTGGGGATTGCTAGGGGAGTCATCTTGTCTCGGGACCTGACTATGAACGAGGTTCTTACTGATGACGAAGTGTCTCGCCAAGTCATTCAACACATGGTCCTGGTAAGACTTATTCTTTTGAGCTTTCCATATTTTCTTCGAGATTTTTCTTCAAAGTTTTTCTAAGTCAATTCTTCTTTTTTTCAACCAAGGGTTTGCAAAAAGTTCATGAGGTTGGGGCTAGGATAGCTAGAAAATATAAGGCTATGAAGGATGTTATCCATACCTGAGCTTCAACCTTGGCTAAGAAAAAGAGTATGGATGAGGAGTATGCCAAACTCTGCGAAGAAGTTAAGGTTCTACAGGCTCAAAACCAAAGCTTGACCGAGGAGAACCAAAAGCTTTCTTCTGAGGTTGAAAAGTTGAAGGAGTCCAAGCATGAGGCCAACGTTGAGCTTTCACAATCCCAACTCGACTATTCCACCCTCCTTGAGGAATTTGATCAGTATAAGTCTAAAACAAAAGAGAAAGAAGACGCTGCTTATGATGAAGAAGTTGAGAAGGCGAAAAATGACCTTGCCCTACAAATCCCTCAACTCCAAGAAGCGTACTTTAGTCAGGGCTGGCACGCTGCCCTAACTGCTGCAGGGGTTCCAACTTCTTCTGAACTCTTTTCAAGACATTCCCTTCCGAGTTCTTCACAGCCCCCTTCCTCCTGAAATACCTTAAGAGATCTTCCTTTTTGCAACTTCTGATGTAATCATTCAATGATTTGTGTAATTTCTTTTTTGAAGTATGAATGAAAACATATTTTGGCCTTTTTGTTTCTATAATTTACTATATGCTTGAAAAAACATGACTTTTGACGTACAAATCATTTTGTTTGGCCCTTTTTTCGAAGGTTCGGTCCCTTAATAAGGACCATTTATTTTTAGAAAAAATTTAGATAGCTTGTAAAGTCAAGGCCCTGCTCGGCCTTTATTCAAAGAGCTCGGTCCCTCAACTGGGAATTTTTCCACTTAAAAAAATTTTGATAACTCTTAAAGTTATGACCCTGGTTAGTCCTTCTTCAGAGAGCTCAGTCCCTCAACAAGGACCTTTTCCATTTAGAAAAAATTTGATAACTCTTGAAGTTATGGTCCTGCTCGGCCTTTCTTCAGAGAGCTCGGTCCCTCTACAGGGACTTTTTACTCTTAAAATTTTTTTGATAACTCTTGAAGTTATGGCCCTACTCAGCCATTCTTTAGAGAGCTCGGTCCCTCAATAGGGACCTTTTACACTTAGAAAATTTTTGATAACTTTTGAAGCTATGGTCCTACTCAGCCCTTCTTCAAAGAGCTCGGTCCCTCAACAGGGACCTTTCACACTTAAAAAAATTTTGATAACTTTTGAAGTTATGGCCCTGCTCGGGCCTTCTTCAAAGAGCTCGGTCTACCAGTAAAGTTACTCTTAGTCCTTTTTGGGATCTAAGGGAGTTTCGACTCGGAATCGACCTGTCAATCTGATTGGCTTCAAACCCATCCCTGATCAGTTTACATCGTCATGCCTACCTAAGGGCCTAGATTAGATTGGGCGGTTATGCCTAATTTAAGTTTAAAACTTCTATCAAGATTTTTTGCCTCCTTACCTTAACAGTAGGACATATATAAAGTGGAGCAAGAATAGGAAAGAATCTTCAAATTTTTTTATTAAAATATTTAATTTGGTATATTTGGTAATCATCTATCAACTCTTAAGGGACACCCTTAAGTTTTTGAAGGTACTTTAGAGCTCTATCTAAAAAAGTACTTTTTAGAAATAAAACTTTCTAAGGTTAGCGATGTTTCAGGGGGCGTGGCACTACCTTTTGGCCCAAGGTCTCTAGCTCGTAATACCCGTTGCCCTCTATTCGGGCTATTCTGTAGGGACCTTTTCAGTTTGCTCCAAGCGTTTCATAGGTTGGGTTTTTAGCTGATCCCAATACTCGTCTGAGAACTAGGTCTCCAAGTGTGAAAGATCGAGGGTTAACTCTCTTGTTATAAGCTCGGGTCAATTGATGCCAGTAAAAGGCCATTCTTATAGCTGTTTGTTCTCT